AGCACAGAGTACCTTGAGTTCAAAGCACAAAATCTACATAAAAGAGCCTCTAGGGCAGAGGAGACAGCTGGATCCCTGGGCTCCATGGCCAGCCAGCCTAGCCTATTTGGCTAATTCCAGCCCAGTGATGGAACCTATTTATTCATCTCTACCCTCCAAATGCATATGTACATATGTGCATTTATACCCTATAACACACACACATGCACATACCCTCACATGAACATGTATGCGCGTGCACACACTCACACACATACACACACATACACACACACATACACACACAGATAAGATTATAATCCCTTTAAATGTATATATGTACAAAATGACAAAATGTGTGTGCTCTCCCATCTCAGCCTCTGAGTCCTTGGGACTACAGACACACTCCAGTGCACCTACATCATGCCTATGTACTTGAACTATATGTGCAGAAAATGTCTTAAAATGAGTACAGAAAGGTGGGCCAAGAACTAAGCTTAGAACGAGGGAATTCAGGGCTGGGATGCGGCTCAGCTGGCAGAGTGCTTGCCTAAGCTCCACGGGGCCCTCTGCTCAATCCCTACACCAGAATTAAACTGGATATGGTGACCCATGCCCAGAATCCCAGCACGTGGAAGTAAAAGCAGGAAGATCAGGAGTTCAAGTTCATCCTTGGCTACAAAACAAGTTTAAGGCTTTCCTAGGCTACAGTATACATTACATATATTTATAATGTCATAAATGTAAAGATATAAAATTATATATATTACTTTTTCCCTTCCAAGATGGTTTCTAAAAAGTAACTATTACTTGTCAAACTTAAAATACATGAGATAAACATAAAATATTAATATAGTGAAAAACAATTCAGAGGGAAATAACATACTAAAATGTTCAATATGTTCATGACATTTACCTGAAGCATTTCTTTTCTTCTTCTTGTTGTCCCTGTTATTTTAAATTTGCTGTATATGTATTAGATTTGTTTTTACTGACTTTGAACGTAAATATACGCTGGTACAATTCAGTATTATAGATAAGACTTTGTGTGTCTTTGCTTCCCCACCCTAGCTTCCTCCTGTGTGTCCTGTGCACATGCACACTGCATAACTTCTAGGTCTCGTTGCTGGGACAAAATTCCCAACAAAAGCAACTCGAGGAAGAAGAGCTTATTTGAGCTCACAGTTTGGGGGTACCGTCCATCATGGTGGGGAGTCATGCAGCAGGAGGCGGCTGGTCCCATGACATCCACAGTCAGGCAGCAGACCGATGGATGCTGATGCTCAGCTCACCTTCTCCTTTTTATGCAGGCCAGGACTCAAACACAGGGAACACTGGTGCCCACGCTTGGTGTAGGCCTTCTCATCATAATTAACCAAATCTAGAAACTCACAGGCATGCTCAGAGCTTTGTCTCCATGGTGATTCTAGGTCCAGTCAAAGTGAGGATCAGTACTGACCACCATATAGATCACCGTGTGTATGTGTATACGTATGTGAGGGAGTCAGTTCTCTCCCTCCACCGTGTGGTCCTGGGGATCGAACTCAGGTCATCAGGCTTGGCAGCAAGCACCTTTACCCATCAAGCCTCATCTCCCTGGCCCAGTGTGGCTTCTGAAAACTGGCGTCACATTTGTTTGAGACCCTCCGCAGTGACATCATCATGTCTCAGACTCCATGACACTAAGTGGCACAATGTCCTCATCTAGAACAGAGACGCACAGTGACACAGCTCTATTACCATCATCTAGGGTGGTTACAGTTTCCTATTTTAACACTACAGCGAATTCCCTTCTTAGACATTTCTTTGGAAAAAGACTCCAAGAATTGGACTTCTGGGTCCCTATAATTTACAGTTATTTCAATAGACACTCCTCCAAATTGCTCATTTAAATGACTGGATAAGATTTACTCTCCCATCAGCAGTACGGGCACACATCACTGTCAGCGGCTGCCCAAGACTTTCTTTTTAGTCAGTCTGTTGATGGAAAGTGGAATCCTGTTATTGAACTTGAATTTCCTTGGAAAAGGGATATTTGTCATACTTACATCTCTCTCTCTCTCTCTCTCTCTCTCTCTCTCTCTCTCTCTCTCTCTCTCTCTGTGTGTGTGTGTGTGTGTGTGTGTGTGTGTGTGAACACTGCTTGAAGCAATCGTTTTCTTCTTCCCCCATGTAGATCCTGGGACCAAACTCAGGAATTCAGGCTTAGCAGCAAGTCCTTTAACTGATGACCTCTTGTCTGTCCCCTGTATTCCTTCCCTATAAATCTTTGTAAATTTTCATTATATGGTTGTCTTCTTTTCATTGATTTGCAAGACTCCTTTAGATAGACTAGAAATTAGTCCTTCATTTTTATGTGCAAATAGACTCTTTCAGTATTTGTATTTTGACTTTCATGTGATTTTTTTTAAAAAGATGAATTTTTAAATTATATGTATGTGTGTATGCTTATGTGTGGGTTTGTGTACATGAGTGCAGTGCCCACAGAGGCCAGAAGAGGGCGCAAGATTCCCCTGGAGCTGGAGTTATGGTGGTTGTGAGCTCCTAGAGGTGGGTGCTGAGAACTGAACTCGGGTCCTCTGTAAGAGCAGCTTAACTGCTAAGCCATCTCTCCAGCCACTGTGACCTTTGACCTAGGTTTTCATATTTGTATGTCAGATTTGATGAATGTCAGAAGCCACATTTTAAGGTCTTCTCTTGCACATTATCCTGGAAGACACATTCCTCCAGAGCAATGCACATTATCCAAAATTTTGGATATTATCTCTTGCACATTATCCAAATTTTTCTTCTCAAACACTCATCATTTTTCTATGTTTATTTCCACAATCTGAAATCACAGTCCCTGTCCCCAGCCCCTGGAACCCACACTTCCTACTAAAGCCCCAAGCTGTCCCACGCCGCCTTGCCTGCATGCTTGCTAGTGTCTCGTGAAAAAAAAACAAAACAAAAAACCAACCAAACAACAACCACAGCAGCTACAACCACATCAACCACAGCAGCTACAACATCAACCATAGCAGCTACAACATCAACCACAGCAGCTACAACATCAACCACAGCAACTACAACCACAACCACAGCAGCTACAACATCAGCAGCAACAATTCTTTCCCTCAGCAGAACTGTCAGTTCAGTTCTTGAAGACACAGCTCAAGCAGGACTTAGAAAAATACTAAAACAAAAATATCACCTCACAGAACTGATGGCCCCCTTGCCCGTGCTCCTGTGGCAGTTTGTCCTGCCATTCTAGTAAAAGCATGTCTATCATTCCCACTTACTGAGGCAAAAATTGTCTGAAGCCATCTGTGTATTCAGCACTTTGTTTAATGAGCGAATGAATAAAACAAACAATCTCTGTTTTAAAAAAGGACTCTATTAAACCTTCCAACAAAGCGGAGTGCTTCTGACCATGCTAATCAGACTCTTCGAGATGATTCCTTTAGAGAGAAAAACATTAGCTGCCTCCCAACCCCACCACGATGAAACCAGTTCCCCGTCTCTGCAAAGGAAGAGGCCAGCACTGGAAGCCCAGAGCCAGCCAGCCCTTCGGGACGATCTACGCCGAAATGTGCTAGCTGAGACCCCTTCAAAACAGCTACTGCTCAGCACCCCCAGGCACCAAGGGCGTTACATTGCTCTGGAGGAATGTGTCTTCCAGGACACGGACTGTGTCTTCACGCTTTTCTCCTGGAAGTACACACATCCGTCTACCGACTCTCTCCCAACAAGTGAATTTGGTTCTATTAGAGTTTGTTGTAATAAAAGTCAGGAAATGACCCAGAAAAGAAAAATGCTAGCAGCATTATTTGTGAGGACTGATAAAAAGAAAAAAGGCAAACAACCCTTTCCTTTTAGGAAACTTCCCTAAAATAACCCTCCCCAATGCCTTGGGGGCACACATCTCACACTCCTGGGTAAGCAATGGCCTTGACTGTGCCTTACCAGCCTCCTGCAATCTCTGCCAGTCAGAGACAATAGCAGTTTCTCTAAAGAGTCTCTCCCAACAGTATAATCTTGGATGTATCTTTCTCTAATTTTTTTAAGTGTGTGTGTGTGTGTGTGTGTGTGTGTGTGTGTGTGTGTGTGTGTGTGTGTGTTTCATGTGCAGGGGGCACCCACCCCAGCATGTGCAGAAGTCAGAAGAGGATGCTGGGTCCTGTTCTGTCATTCTGTTTCATACCTTTGAAGGGTCTCTTACTGGACCTGGAGTTAGGCCGGCAGCTTGCCTGCCCCAGTGACACTCTTGTCTGTCTGTCCCTCCACGGCTCGGGGTTGCAGGAGCTAGGCCAGCAGCTTGCACACCCCAGTTGCACTCTTGTCTGTCTGTCCCTCCACGGCTCTGGGGTTGCAGGAGCTAGGCCGGCAGCTTGCACACTCAGTGACACTCTTGTCTGTCTGTCTGTCCCTCCACGGCTCTGGGGTTACAGGAGCTAGGCTGGCAGCTTGCATGCTCAGTGACACTCTTGTCTGTCTGTCCCTCCACGGCTGTGGGTTGCAGGAGCACCTGGCCACAGCCTGCTTTCCACGTGGGTGGTGGGGATTGAACTCGGTCCCTCATGCCTGTGTGGCAGTGCTCTTAACAATCTCTCCTGCTCTGCTGTATCTTTTTAAAGAACCCAACACATTAGCCACCAAATAGTTCCTAATTTTAGGGGAAAAAAATCATTTATTTTTGAGGCAGGGTCTCATGTAGCCAAGGTTGGCCCTGAACTTCCTAACAGACAAGGATGACCTTGAACTCCCGATTTGCCTCTCAAGTGCTGGGGTTCCGGGCATATGCTTTCCCACAGGGTTTATCCATTACTGGGGATGCCTTTTAAACATTTATTTCATTTTTCAAAATCAAATGTTTTGTTCATTTTATGACAAGAAAGGAAAGAAGGAAGCAGTGGAGGGAGGGAAGGGGGAAAGAAGGGAGGAGGGAAAGAAGAAAAGAGAATGGCAGAGAGACCCCTATAGAGAAAAATCATCCACGGATTAATTTTTTAAAGATTTATTTGACAATTTAAAAAACTCACTTGTGGGAGAAAGGAATGCAAAGGTGTACCCCGGGCACTTTCACCAGGAGGAGGTGGGATTAGCTTTGTATCTCTTATAATCTTCTCCGCAGAAGAAAGCAATTTCAGTTTCACTGGCTGAAAAGAAGAAACACAGAAAAGGGGAGAAACAGGATTTTAATGTGAAAGTAGATTTTAAGCAAGTATGGAAATCCGTATTACATTGGTTTGTTATCATGGGTGCTTAAAATGAAAAGACAAGTTGATGGTTGGACTGCGTAATAACTTTTTACCAAACCAACCAGAAGTTTCGGTGTGGTTATAGCAGATTAAAACTCAAATAATTCAAAAATAAAAGGAAGAATAATTCATGCTAGTGAGATGGTAAAGGAGCTTTCTGCTGAGCCCAGCAGCCTGAGTTCTGTCCTCAGAGTTCACAAGCCTCTGACTTACACTTACACACACACACACACACACACACACACACACACACACACACACATACACTTACAAATAAATGTAATTTTAAAATTTGAAAACAATAACTCCTTAAATTAAAATTGAGAGTTAACACCAGAGTGAAGATTTTCAGGGGGTTACCTACATTGCTCATTTATACCCCTGGAAAACAGAAAGCCTTGATCTCTTTCAAATAGACTAGTCAGTTCCAGAAGGGAAGGGGCTCCCCCGCCCCCTCCTGAAATTAGCCCGTAGGTATAATAATTTAATACTTAGAGGATCAGTAGAATATTTTACAGATCACTTTACATTCTCCCTCATGACCCATCAAAATATGTGTCTGAAGAAGTTAATTTTTGGCCCTGCTTATGATTAATTCATGAGGCTTCAGCAATATGCAAAGTGAAAGACACAAATTGGCTTCTATGCAATACCTTCAAATGCCTCTAATTATTCACGGGGGAGATGGCTCAGCTAAAGGACCCACAGAGGTTCAGGGCGGCCACGAAGCTTTCAACCTAGCGGGTCAAGGACTCCGTCTTCTAAAACAATAAGTCAGCAGCATTATTAATTCAGATCTGATGGAGAGCCTTCCCATTATTAAACATGTGGCTCTTCAAGGCGTTGGCACCCACAAGTTCCACACTGGTTTTTTTTTTTAAATTAAACCAGGAGTTAATACAGTCTGCTCGGCTTTCACAGAAGGCAAAAGGCCTTCCAAAGCTCAACAAGAAAACAGACATGATTATTCGTAATGAATACTGAGTACTCAATTAACATAGACGCTCCAAAGAGACAAGTGAAACTCCTCAACCCAAATAAATAGGATGAGGAGTGCAGAGGATTACCTCCGGTCTGCAGCGTGGAGCTCTAATCTCATCATTAGATTCTATCACAAAAGAATGAAATTCAAGAGATTAGTACAACATTTCATTAAGAATGTCTTTTGTTGTTTGCAAGAATATCATATGTAGTATCTCTCTACCATAAGCTATCCTGTGCTCCAGAGAAAACGAACAAATATTGAGAGAAGGAAAACGATATGGCCATATCCACAGGTCCTCGGTCCAGAAGTACTTCACCCTCGGGATTAGATTTAATCCAAGTGGTTGATAATTTGATTGGGAACGCTCATCGAATTGAGCCTGGGTGGGTAGGTACTGCAGAGAGAGACTGAGAATCGGAGACGGGCTGGAGATGAGACTCCCCCAGCAAACAGTGGCTTAGCGTGCAGGTCGTCACGTTTCAAAGAATCGGCTGACTGTAAGGGGAGCTGGAGGGGCTGGGAGATGGCTCAGTGGGTAAAAGCACCTGCTCTGCAAGCACGAGGAACTGGGTTCGAATCCACAGCACCCATGTAAGAGCTGAGCATGGCTGCGGGAGTCTGTTACCCCATCACTGTGGGGTGGGGACGGGAGGATCCTGAGAGCAAACTGAGCAGGCAGCCTAGCTGAAACAGTTAAACAGTGAGCTTCTGGGTCAGTGTGAGCCCCTGTCTCGGGGTAAGAAGGCAGAGAGTAACAGAGGAAGACACGGGTTGCCCTGCCCTGCCCTCCACGAGCACACACCAAATGCACCAGCACTTGCACGCTGAGCAAAGGGAGGGTGAGGCTTCAGAAAACTAAGTCATTCCAAGGGGAGGTGTCTGGAGCACTGTGCTTTGTAAACAACAACAAAAAGTTCTTCCTGGAGGGACCCATTCCTCCCTCTCTTCCTTCTCTTCTTCGTGACAGGGTTTCTAGGCCAGGGTGGCTTTGAACTCCCTCTGTGCCACAGATGACGTGAACTCCCGATCTTGCCTCTGCCTCCCCAGCTCTGGAATACGAGTGTGCCCCGTTAGCCCAGTTAATGCAGTAGTGGGAATGGAACTCGGGAATCGGTGTATACTACTAGTCAAGCACTCTGACCACGGGCTACATCCCCCCCTCCCCGGCCCCAGAGCTGCGTTTCTAGTAGAGAAAGCGAAGGCATGTGCTCAGATCACAGGGCAAGGCTTCGTCTTCGTGGGCTGTCACATACGGAACTCTGCGCGCTCTTATGGGTGTTTGAGACAAGGTTGAATCGTCCAATGCAGCCTGATAGCCTGGAGCCCATGACCCTCCTGCCTCTGTGTGTACCACCACGTCTAGCTGTGACTCGGCATTTATACTGCGTGGATGGACACAAAGGTTCAGAAGAAAACCACTGAAGGTGGAGATTTTATTTTTAGATCATTGCCCCCCAGTCTCTGGAAAACTGGGCCCATAAATGGGTTAAATTTAATGCTTATATATATTATGTACATATCATATATGTATATATTAAAAGCTCGACTATAACAAATCAGAAAACACAAGCTACAAATTAACTATTCACAGATAAAACATAAAGGACTGGGAGGATGGCTCAGTGGTTAAGAGACTTTCTATGTAGGCAGACCTGAATTTGAATCCCTGGCACCACGTAAAAAACTTAGTGTGGTCACACATGCCTGTAACCCCAGTCCTGTGGGAGGTAGACACAGGAGGCTCCCCAGAATTTGGTAGGACCACCCTAGCTCCAGGTCTTAAAGAAAAAAGGTAAAGAGTGATAGAGCAGGCCACCTGATGTCTTCCACTGGCCTCTGTGGATGCACCCCACACAGGCACACTACACAAAAGCTCACACACAAAGTAAAGCATAAGACAGTGTCTTAGTTAGGGTTTCTATTGCTGTGAAGAGACACCATGACCATGGCAACTCTTATAAAGAAACATTTAATTGGGGGCGGGGCTCATTTACCGTTTCAGAGGCTCAGTGCATTACCATCATGGCGGGGAGCATGGCGGCATGCAGGCATACATGGTGCTGGAGCTGAGAGTCCTACATCTTGACTCAGAGGCAACAGGAAGTTGATTGACTGTCACACTGAGGGAAGCTTGAGAAAAAGAGACCTCAAAGCCCACCCCCACAGGGACACACTTCCTCCAACAAGGCCACACCTCCTAACAGTGCCACTCCCTTTGGGGGCCAATTTCTTTCAAGCCACCACAGACATAGTGGCACATGCCTAAAAGCCCAGCACTTGAGAGGCTGAGGCAGGAGGATCATAAGTTCCAGGCTACTGGCATGGATTACAGAGAGAGGACTTGACTCAAAAAACTCTAACTACACAAACAAACAAAGTATATTTTAGACTTCATCAATATAGTTTCCAAATGGAAAGAATAATTGTTTTTAAAAATCTGAATATCCGTTGGAAATATTTGAGAGAATGGGTTCATGTACTTAAATTTTTTAACAATTTAAACAGCAATTACAAACGATTTTCTTTTTGAGACAAAGTTTCCTGTAGACCAAGTTTTTCTTATGTAGTTGAGGATGACTGAACTTCTTAGCCTGCCTCCACCTCCTCAATGTTGGGGTGACGGGCATGGACCGCCATGTGCGAGCTGGGGCTAGAGCTGGGGGCTTTGCAGCGACCAGCAAGCCTCTACCAACTGAGCTGCATGCCCCCCACAAGAGACTTTTAGGACCACTATCTAACCATTCTCTCCACTAGCATCCCTTCAACTCTTCCTCCCCAAGTTCTGTTTAAAACACTTCTTTAAGCTCAGCAGAAAAGAGCAGGTAGGAAGAGGGCACCTGGCTTTAAATTAAATGTGCTTTGAGCACAGTACAGTGGGTGCAGAGGTCTCGCTCGGTGTGGGAATCTGAAGAGACTGTGAGATCTAAAACTAAGTGTCCTCATGTCACTATCAAATGAAACCAAGGAGAGCCGCCAAATACATTGTGGAGTCTCTTAATTCTTGCCTGCCATTGTAACATGAGCCGGGACATCCAGACTTTAGACATAGCATTAAGAATTTTATAACACTTTTAAACAGATTTCACACACACCCACAAACACACACACACATACACACTCTTCAGTGGGACACTGATGATTACTTGAATTAAGAGAAAGTAAGAATAATCTACTCTACCTCTGAAATCTCAAGAGAAATTAGTTTAATCAATCCTCTGACTTATCGAAACACATTTATCGGCAGCAACAAAGACACACTACAAGTTCTCTGTCTACCTTCCTGACCTCACGCTGTGACTTACATAGTCTGAGAGAAGCTGACAGGTGTGTCCTGGCTTTCTGGGACATCCAGGACAGAGTGTCAAGTGATGATAACAGTATTTAAAAAAAAAATAGATCTCAGAACAAATTGATGTCCAAAGAGAAAGTTCCACTCTCTTCTGCTCCAGGAAAATGTTTTATCCTTCCTTTTGTATGCATGTATGTGTGTGTACATGTGTGTACAAGTATGTGTACATGTGCGTATAGAGGCTAGAAGTCAACCTTAGGTGTCATTTTTCAAACACCTGGTTTTTGAGATTTATTTTTGTTTATTTTATGTGTATGGTTTTTTGCCTACATATACGTCTGTGCATCACATGCATACAGTGCCTGCAAAGGCCAGAAGAGCGAGTCAGAGGCCATAAAACTGGAGTTACAGACAGCTGTGAGCCACCAGGTGAGTGTTGGAAATTGAACCTAGGTCCTCTGGAAGGGTGTTTTTAACTGCTGAGCCATCTCTCCAGCCCCCCGCCTGATTGTTTTTGAGGTAGGGTCTCTCATTGGCCTGTGAGAATAGGTCAAGTAGGCTACGCTGGACCTGCCTATCTCCTCCTTCCCAGAGCTGGGATTAGAAGTATGCACCATCACACCT